AATGACCTTCGTTCCGCACATCTACACTACACACCCATTAACCCTAAAAAGGTTTTAGGTCAGTTGGGTGAACAGTTTCTGAGAACACTTCCGGACAAAAAAGTACCGGAGAAGAAATAAGAAGAAAAAAGAATAATAATAATAATAACTAGTGCTAATTGTAACGGGGACCGTTACAGATGTTCCCCAAACGCTCCCCAACTCCCTTTTGGTGCCATATTCCCTGTAAGCTTCATTAAATAAGACAAACTCTAGTCTAAGCATCTGAGATTTTAACAACATTTACAAAGAAGTGTACAAAAAATCATTTAAACTTTAGCATTGCACGCCTGCACATGTGAATGCATTTGCGTCATGACCATATCATCTTGTCTACACAATCTATATTTTTAATACACTGAATATTAAAGTATTTAATCCTTAATTATTGAAAAATACGCTCATTCAAGTGTATGTTTGATCTTACTCATTTCACGTGCACGCACGTGCATACATGAGCATGGTGACCATACCTTCTTGTAGAAGTCCATTACATCTATCTATGTTCAAAATTCCACCCTGTTTGGGTGAAAACTAAGGGAGTTATAGCTGTTTAAAGTTTCAGCCAATCAGATTGCAGCACATGTACACGCAAGTGTATGCATGTGCATGTTGACCATATCTACTTGTAGAAGTCCATTATATCTATCTATGTTCCAAATCCCATCCTGTTTGGCTGAAAACCAAGGGAGTTATAGCTATTTAAAGTTTCAGCCAATCAGATTGCAGCGCACGTGCATGCACGTGTTTTCATGATAATTGCTTTATTTCATGTTGTAGGATATCCTAATGCATGGCTATGTTCAAAATTTCAAAGGATTTCGTTAAAAAACAAGAAAGATATTGAGACTTTAGTTGCAGCCAATCAGAGCGAAGTGCACGTGCATGCGCGTGAGATCTTGCTATTTTCACCATGTGGTCATGTCTATACTACTAATATATCCTCACATTATGAGTTTCAAAGCATTTCATCTAAAAATAGAACAGTTGTGGCTATATCTATTATATTGGTCATTTCACGTGTTGCACGTGCACGCTCTTGCAAGCACGTGCGCGCAAAATGACCTTGATTCCACAAATCTACATAACATGTCTACTAACCCTAAAAAGGTTTTACCTACATCGGACGAACAGTTTACAAGATCATTCCCGGACAAAAAAGTTCCAGGAAGAAGAAGAAGAAGAAGAAAAATAATAATAATAATAAGAAACAGAGTAAAAACAATATGTTCCCCAACTTCGTTTGGGGAACATAACTAGTGCTAATTGTAACGGGAACCGTTACAGATGTTCCCCAAACGCTCCCCAAGTCCCTTCTCGTGCCATATTCCCTGTAAGTTTCATTAAAGAAGGCAAAATCTATGCATTTAAGACGGCAACAACGTTTTCCCAAAAGTATACCAAGTATTTCAAATTTAAGCAATGCAGGCGTGCGCATGTGATTGCATGAGCGTAATGACGATATCATCTTGTCTACACTATTTTACTCGTATGCACGTGCACGCACGTGCATGATGACCATACCTTCTTGTAGGAGTCAATTATGTCTGTCTATGTTCTTAATCCCATCCTGTTTGGTTGAAAAACAAGGGAGTTATAGCCATTTAAAGTTTAAGCCAATCAGATTGCAGCGCACGTGCATGCGCATGTTTCCATGACAATTATTATATATCATATTGTAGGACATCTTAAAGTATGCCTATGTTTTAAATTTCAAAGCATTTTGTAAAAAAACAGAAAAGACATTGAGATTTTTGTTTCAGCCAATCAGAGCAAAGCGCACGTGCACGCACGTGCATGCATGTGAATGGTGACCATACCATCTTGTAGGAGTCCTTTATGTCTATCTATGTTGTAAATCCCATGCTGTTTTGTTGAAAACCAAGAGAGTTATAGTCATTTAAAGTTTCAACCAATCAGATTTCAGCGCACGTGCATGCGCGTGATTTCATGAAAAATTTTATATATCATATTGTAGTACATCCTAATACATGTCTATGTTATAAGTTTCAAAGTATTTCATCATAAAACAAAAAAGATATTAAGATTTCTGTTTCAGCCAATCAGAGCAAAGCGCACGTGCATGCGCGTGAGTTCATGCAAATTTGACCATGTCATCTTATGTACACAACTTATATATCTTTATATAATGAGTTTCAAAACATTTTATCAAAAAATATAAAAGTTACAACCATATTAAATATATCAGTCAGTTTACTCATTGCACGCGCCCGCACGTGCATGCGAATGCGCGCAAAATGACCTTCGTTCGGCACATCTACACAACATGCCTACTAACCCTAAAAAGGTTTTAACTTAGTTTGGTGAACAGTTTCTGAGAACACTTCCGGACAAAAAAGTACCGGAGAAGAAATAAGAAGAAAAAAGAATAATAATAATAACTAGATGCGTTCTTGTTGCTAGAGCAACAAGCGGTCTTCCGACCGACTTTTCGTTAGAGTTATATGCTGTGTCATCCCATGAAATAGATTTAAGAATGTATTTTTTTGGTTTACGTTTATTCACAGCAGTCTCTCAACATACATCATGAAAATTACAGGTATTCCTCAAAATATCTCAAAAAATAGCTTTTAAAAATCGGAAAAATATTCCATACATGTTATAAATGAGATAAAAGTTATTTGCAACTGAAAAAAGACATAAACAAAGAAAAAATTTTGAAACGCCCCCAGCGGGATTCGAACCCCCGACAGTGGGAAAAAGTTTGGTTCGGTCATATCTTTTCAATATATGCACACATCAAGATACTGAACAAATATTTAGAATTCTCATAAGACGCACTATAAAGCCTGCAAATCCCGAAAAAAAATATTGAAAAACAAAAAAGTTGAGAAATGAGACTTTTTGAATTCACTTCCGTTAGCGACCGGAAGTGCCGACGACGAAAAATGAAGGTCGTTGGCCATAACGGAGTTCGATGTTCTTTCACCTCAGTGAGTTTCACTTTCATATCTTTAGCCGTTCTCGAGAAAACTGCTGGACAAAATGCCTTTTAAAAAATACAAAAATCCCCCAAAATCGCGAACGAAGGTGAATTTTGAAAAAATGAAAAACACGTCTGGAGATATTTTCATGATGCATCATCCCTGTAAAAATCTTACAAATCCGTCCACGCACAGCTGAGATATCGCCCTAACTATGAAAAAAGAAAAATAATAATAATAAAAAACAGACGAATAACAGTAAGGTCTTCCGAAGGAAGTCGGAAGACCTTAATAATAATAATAAGAAACAGAGTAAAAACAATATGTTCCCCAACTTCGTTTGGGGAACATAATAATAATAATAACTAGTGCTAATTGTAACGGAGACCGTTACAGATGTTGCCATACTCCCTGTAAGCTTCATTAAATAAGACAAACTCGATGCATTTGAGACTTTAATAACGTTTGCCCAGAAGTGTACAAAGTTCATTCAAATTTTGCGTGCGCATGTGAATGCATGTGCGTAATGACCATATCATCTTGTCTACACAATCTATATATTTTTATATACTAAATATTAAAGCATTTAATCCAAAAGTATTAAAAGGATACGCTCATTCAAGTGTTTTTTTATTTTTCTCATTTCACGTGCACGCACGTGCATACATGAGCATGGTGACCATATCTTCTTGTAGATGTCTGTTACATCTATCTATGTTTTAAATCCCACCCCGTTTGGTTGAAAACTAAGGGAGTTATAGCTGTTTAAAGTTTCAGCCAATCAGATTGCAGCGCACGTACATGCACGTGTATGCATGTGCATGGTGACCACATTTTCTTGTAGTAGTCCAGTATATCTATCTATGTTCCAAAACCCATCCTGTTTGGTTGAAAATCAAGGGAGTTATAGTTATTTAAAGTTTAAGCCAATCAGATTGCAGTGCACGTGCATGCACGTGTTTTCATGATAATTGCTATAAATTTTGTTGTAGGATATCCTAATGCATGGCTATTTTCAAAATTTCAAAGAATTTCGTCAAAAAATAAGAAAGATATTGAGACTTTAGTTTCAGCCAATCAGAGCAAAGCGCACGTGCATGCGCGTGAGGTCTTGCTATTTTGACCATGTCATATTGTCTATGCTTCTAATATATCCTAATATTATAAGTTTCAAAGCATTTCATCAAAAATTTAAAAAGTTACGCCTATATCAATTAAATCGGTCATTTCACATGTTGCACGTGCACGCTCTTGCAAGCACGTGCGCGCAAAATGACCTTCGTTCCGCAAATCTACATAACATGTCTACTGACCCTAAAAACATTTCACCTTAGTCGGATGTATAGTTTACGAGATCATTCCCGGACAAAAAAGTACCCAGGAAGAAGAAGAAGAAGAAGAAGAAGAAGAAAAATAATAATAATAAGAAACAGAGTAAAAACAATATGTTCCCCAACTTCGTTTGGGGAACATAATAAATGCCTTATTACCCGCTGTTAAATTAGTTTGAATTTCTCAGGATCGAGAAATCACGGGAATCAATTATTCATGTACATGTTAATCTACGTCGAATATACAGTTGAATTTTAGAAAATTTATCAATGTTCTCCATTATATCACTGTTTACAAGTACACTGTACATATCCGCATCGTCGCATAAACAACAATGATCGATCCACAATACCATTACTGTATTGGAATATACAAGGGGTGGGGCTTACTGGCGGTGAGATTAAAGCGGGGTTCGCTTCACGCATCAGTGCGTAAAGCGGTCCCAGGAAGCGAACGCCGGGTTCGCTCTAGCGGACCCAGAGCTGACCCCGAGCGAACGCGGAGCTATCCCGGAGCGCACCCGGAGCGGTCCCAAAATTTCTGAAAGCGAACCCGAAGCGGACCCAGACCGAACCCGGGAAGCGAACCCGGGGTCCGCTCCGGGTTCGCTCTGGTGTTAGGTTGTGTCCGGTCGGTACTTTATGTACTTTGTATATTAATTCTGTAAAATATGTATTTTTGTAGGAACAAGATATTATTCAGACGCATCTTCAGATGAAACCACTTCACCTGAGTCAAAACGAAAGTCCACTGACTACAAACCAATCAACACTCGTGAATTATACCATCAGTACAGACAAAACACTTTACATCGAATTAGAACAAATGACGAGCGAACAAGATACCGAAGAAACGAAAGATATGGACATCAAAGATCCGTATTTAGTGAAGTAACAAATTATAATCAGCAATATGACTACAGTCGTAACAGATGGACAGGTAGAAGGACAAGCAATTCAAATCAAGGAGGTCAGGACAACTGTGAACGAAGAAGTAGGGATTACCATTTAAGAGGGGGAATAATGGGAAGAACTCTTTCGAGATCACTACTGAAGTATCAGAACGAATACGAAGACAAGAGATTACATGTGCAATAACAAATACGCGCGTTCTCTCATTCTGCATTCTTTTTCTACCAAATACTTTATATTGGCGATGTTGCTTTTACAAATAAAAAACTGTTGTGCATGAAATTATACCAGACGGACAAAAGATAAGAAGATATGGAGAATAATTATTTTTTTTCCATTTTTCTATTTTATTTTATACAGCAGTGTATGGCGAAAAACGACCAATTTTTTTTATAAAGTAATTTTTGTTAATTAAAAAACTACAAATATTTTTTTGACCCAGTCAATATACATGTTGTACATCTGTAAGTTTTTTTTTAGATTTATTAAGAAACTGCCTTTATTAAAATAATTCCATATAAAGAAGAATGTATGTATCGCTTATATAAACGGGATTGCAATAAATCAAATGATTAAAGATAAGTTTGTACAATGTCATTAGCATTGAAGTATTTACGGACATATTTCAAACATTGTCAACTTCAAAAACATATAACTAGAACTGTTTCTCCTGCTTCATAATCTTTCAAAAGTGCTACCTTAGAAAGATCCACCTTCTTTGGATTCAAAGGGATTTGAATTATATGTTTTCAAAATAATTCTCTGGTTTATCTTATACTTAATTGTAATTGTGAAAACTGAAATATTACAAAACTTGGTTGTCAAAGAAAAAAGCGACCCTTTGGAACATTTCAAATACTATTTAAGCAAAACTATAAAAAAGTTTACAACATGCCAATAAGGTCATATGAATATAAAACAACATTTAAACGGTGTAAATATAGGTTGTTGGCACACGACTATTTTTTTTTTCGCTTGTATAAAAAAGGCATTGTCAACGACGTTTTCTATGTAATCAGGCTATCCGGCAACACAATGTCAAAAATGTTACCTAATATATAACTACTCTATTAATTCGTGTACTTGAATTTCAAAATTCTTGAATTTGACATCATTTATTTTAAATATATGACGATATCTGCAAAAGAACTTTAAATCAGACATTGTAGAAATGGTTATCTTTGGCGATAATGTGGAGCGTCAAATTATCAAACAACACTATGTTCAGTGGGATAGGATTCCTGTACATAGGAAAAAGAGGAGTTAATAATGAAAGGACACAGATATAAGTATGGGAAACAGATTCATCTCTAGTTGAAGGGGCCTGAGAGTGACATGACTGGTTATTTATAGAAGAGAATACGGGGGTTGATCGAAGCGTTCGAAGACAGATGCAAATATAAAACAACAAAAGTTAGAAAAATGTTGAAAATTTTAGCTTCACACCTTATATTTTCCAAATTATCATAAAATAAAAATACATCTTTGTTCATCTGGCGCAAACGACATTTAGTTGCATGACGGCAGTGTTTCCTCGATGCTCACATTCTTTACCTCACGCACTTATCTTGAAGAGATACCTAAGAGTTAAGTAAAGATTCAAACTCGTCTCGTTTTTATAATTTCAAAATGTCATGAATAGCTGATTTCAATGCATAATTATGATATTGAAGATATATCTATACATGGTTAAAAGTTCTTTTAACAGCTTATTTGCTTGCCAACATTCCACATATATCACACATGATCAAAGTCACTTTTCTATGTTACAAACTTTGAACACCCTTACTATGAATCGACATTAACTTTTACATTTTCCGTCTCTCTTACCTTTTTCGGTAATCAAAAACAAGTACAGGTACTTTGAATGCATTTTATTTTTCGATGGCTGATTTAAATATTTCCTACACATGTAGGTCTATGCGAGTTTTTCCCAGGGATGAAACTTTATAGCATGTTACATAAAGAAACCCATCAATCTCTTTCTGACGTCATTACAGCTCATAAATTTTTTGAACATTTCATAAAAAATATACTATTAAATTTCAAAGAATTTCAGGTTTAATGGTTTTATGAAATATAAAAGTGCATGAGTGAATTAACAGTATTTTTGGATGACAAATGCACATATTGACATATGCTTGTTTTTTGTTTTGTTTTTTTTTTTTTGTTTTTTTTGTTTTTTGTTTTTTTTTTTTTGTCAGTTACAGACTTAATTAAAAAAAAAAAGCAATCTTCGAGGTTGCACTGCCTGGACATACCATTGCTTATTAAAATATCAACAATTTATTAAAAAATGATAATGATGGATAGTTTGTAATATTGATAAAAAATAGATGATGCTTATTAAACATTAAAATCATTGATGTATTTAGGGAATGTTATGGCGATAATGCACGAACTTTTCAAGAAAAAAAATTAAAGCAAAAAAAATCAAGATGAGTTTGTAAAACACAATGCACCCGGCGGCAACAAAGTTTAAGAAAAAAAAGCTACTTTTAGCATATAGGTCAAGGTCACAAGGTCATTCACCGTCGGAAAATTTGAAGGATTTTGATTAGTGTAGTATGCATACCAAATATAGAGTTTAAATGTCTCATGGTTCAAAAGTTATGGCTAAGAATCAAAGAAGCTATTTTTAGCTATTTTTAGCATAAAAGTCTCAGTCAAGGTCACAAGGACGTTGACCTTAGTATCACTGGAAAGAACATAATTAGTAGAGTATTCATATATAATATGAAGTCTATATCTTTTGTGGTTCAAAAGTTACGGCGAAGGTTAAAGTTTGCAGAAAAAAAGCTGTTTTTAGCATACAGGTCGCAGTCAAGGTCACAAGGTCATTGACCTTCGTATCGTTTGAAAGAGCTTTATCATTGAAGTATGCATACTAAATATGAAGTCTCTAATTTTCATGGTTCAAAGGTTATGGCGAAGGTTAAAGTTTGCAAACAAACAAACAAACAGACAGACAGAGAGGACAAAAACAATATCCGCCCTGGATCTATCGATCCGGGCGCATAAAAAAATCACTTAAATGAATACGAATCGGAAAGGCAGGAGCAGGACATCTTGGGCCAACGTGAAGAACAATTCGAACAGTTGAGATTAGGATCAGTATCGCTATTTCTAGAGATATGTCTTTGAACTTTTTAGGCGTTTTTGATGATCATGAGGTATGACAATTTTTTAAATTAAAGTCTTACATGTATTAGTGAAACAAAAGATATTGAAAGTGTTTGGTTTTTCTTGGACAATCCTTCTATATATTCTATGTCTTTTTTCTTCAAAAATCCAATATAGAATTTTATACTGTTATTAAAGAAGTGCTTAAACGTTTGTCCGCATTATTTGATCTTTAATCTTGTTTTATAATTTAGAAGACTTAGTTTGAAATTAAATCTTAAATTTGTACCCAGTGTGTCTGATTGATTGATTGACTGATTGATTGTATATTGTTTAACGTCCCTCTCGTTAATTTTTCAATCATATGGAGACGTCACCGTATGCTGGGCTTCAAATTTAGACCTATACGCGGCACTCAGGGCTATTGAGCAGTGAGGGTTCTTTATCGTGCCAGCGCCTACCGTGACACGGGACCTACGTTTTAAAGGTCATATCCTAAAGACCCGTGACTTTCACTTCTGATGCCGAATGCTTGGCGAAGGAACAGTTTCTACCTATTTTTACATCTTAGGTGTGACACGGCGCCGGGAACGAGAATCGAACCCGGGCCTCCCGATCACGAAGCGTACGCTCTACCACTAGGCTACCGTGAACAAAATCTTTGGATCATTTCTCAGCTTTTGTGTAACATGTAAAAAAAAATGCAAATTGTTTTCGTTAATAACAACTAAAAAGATAAATAAATAGGGGAAATTAAAGTCTCTGCATTGGGGGGAAGGAATGCACACGCCTCAACGAAAACTCGCTTAATTCAAAAAAAAGCTCTAGCCTTTGATAGATTGGGGGATGAGAGTAGGGTTAAGATTAAGGTTAGGGTTAGGGTACGTTTGGCAAGTGGAATATCTTTAAGTGATTTTGTTGATTGAAATTTGCAGTCTAATTTTTTTTTTTTGATAGTTATATAAATACAAGTAAAATAAGAAAAATTAAATCGACACTATAGTGAAAACAAAAACAAAGAAAGTGGTGTCCTTTGAATATTTTTTTATCACAATGTTATGTATGCGTAATTATCCGCAAAAGTATATTTTCAAAAGCATGGAATCAGAACGGATTAGGAGACACAAGAGGTTTGACTACTATTCTCAACTCTATCTATCTCATAATTTAAATTATTAAGAATTATAAAACTTTTACGGACTGTTAAGAAGGAAAACATCACCAATTATAAGGTCTGAGTAGGGTTTTCATCCTCAAAATCGGGCGCAAGCACCCTCAGGTCATAACCCTCCTAAGACCTGATAACTGGTGGTGTCTCCTTTCTAAACAGTCTACAACTACTGTATGTTGAAAGATTATGTATGTATTTTACAGACTTAGTAAATCTGATAGAATGGAGGGTAAAAAAATGAGTAAATAGAATTTATCGGATTGGAAGGAAGAGATCTTGATGAGGTAACATTTATAATAATGATGAATCTTAAAGTTGTTGTTTTAAAAACATAATAAGACATGTTTCGTCACTCCTTTCGCAAACGTGATAATCTTATTGATTTCGTCATTGAGAAAGGTACTTAAATATGAAAACCGCTATAATAAGTACAAAATTACATGTACCTCCCTTTGAATGTCAATCAATCGGTTTTTTTTTCTTGAACTCTTCGATTTTATTTTTAAATTTGCTTTTTGGTCGTTTTATCAAAATTGCTCATGCGGTTCTCTTCGGAAATGTGAAAGTAAATGATACACTGTATGTGATAGACAGGCGACAGACAAATACTGATAAGAGACGTTCACTTTAGCTAGGTAAATTAAATCAAAAGAAAAGACTACAGCATCTCATGCATACAATTTAATGAAAATTTAATGCTAATAATTACATTGCACTTAAAATAAAAAACGTTAAGTAGAAACATTAGCAAATATATCTTTTTTAAAAATGAATTTCATACTTTTACATCAAGTCTGTAATTTGTAAAAATGCACTGTAATTTTTCAGTAAACAAAATTATCCTGAATCAGTAATATAACGCAGACTAGACAATTAATGTTCAAGATGATTTCATTTTTCACAGTAATAATAATGCTCGTCAGAGGGAGCGACATTGAAGGTCTTTCCAATATCTGTTGATATTTCTTTAAAACTTGGCCGTCTTCTTGGTTTAGTGTTCCAGCATTTCGTCATTATTCCATAGTAGCTTTAAAAAAATTAAAAAGTCTTTTATTTGAACTATCAAGTGTGC